GAAGAAAACTAGAAAGGGTCTGTCTGTACATACCATGGTTTTTTTCAGTCTCGCCGATGCTGGCTGCTGTAGGGAACAGAGTTGACTGTTCAGCATAGTTGAACAAACCTTTGGTCTGAACCAGGCTATCAGTACAGTGTGTATAATAACTGTTTCTTCATTATTATGATTATTATGCAGTTATTTCCAGCATGTCATAATATTTCAGCATGAATACTGTTTGGACAGAAGATGTCATGTAGGCGAGTGTTTACTTGCTTTGCTGATTCGCAAGTCTGAAGTACTTAAACTTTGGTTTATCATATATTAATTATTCCCCTATCAGGGTTAATAATAAATTATATAAAATGAATCAGAAAAAAAATTCTGTAATTTTTGTCTGTTTTTTTACAGTCCCTACATGGTGTTGCAGTTTCTACTGTTCCAGAACTACCACTCTTCTATACTCCTATCGATTTAGTAGACATCAGTGTAGAAATGGCTGGACTGAAGTTTCCAAATCCTTTTGGCCTTGCCAGTGCAACCCCTGCTACTAGTTCTTCAATGATTCGAAGAGCATTTGAAGCTGGATGGGGCTTTGCTGTCACTAAGACATTCTCTCTGGATAAGGTAAGGAAATATTTTAAGGTATATTTTCCATGTAATAATTTCTTAGTGTATTTGAAAAATCTGAATCTTTTTGGAATGACACTATTAAATCTAGCTAGTGTAAAGATAGCAGGGAAGGGTATGATGCATTGTGTAGTTCATCTGGTCTGGGAGGTTTCAACAGTGCAGTGACACAATTTCTGGTTCTGTTTGTTGTTACAGTCTTCCCTTCGTATTCCCACACCTTTTAATATTAGCCAACTATTAAGCATAATAATCCTTCTTTAAAAAAAATATCACAGTGAAAGTGTTTTCTGTGAAGGATCAGAATGCAAAGGGAGTAAGTAACAGCTTTATCACACAACTCATGAAAGGTGGATTCTGTGCCAGGGACTGCCAAGATAAGCCATTGAAATTTAGTTGCAGTTGCAACGTGATAATGTGGGTGTAAGGTGGAGGCTGAGTGGGTAGTGAAAGAGAAAGATGGAGGCAACATAAAACAAGCCTATGGAGAGAGGACTAGTTGTGCTGAGGGTCTGTAGCACAGTGACAGCAACCCTGAATAACATGTAGTGGAAGAGGAAGGAGTTAGAATTAAGTCTTGAAAGCTATGGCTCAGTGTGGCACCTTAAATAAAGCATTTTGTGTCAATTTAAGTGTGTCTGAGAGTTGCATTCAGGATTAGTTTCCTGTCGTGACATTCAGAATGGGAAAATGAAATTGAGCAAGAAGTTTAGACAATGAAAGAAAATAGCAGCTTTAATAAACAAATTGAAGAGAAAAGAAACAGCATTTGGGCTGGGATGTAGCTATAGTTTGACTTGTGGAGAGAGGAAGAAGAGCAAAGGTAAATCCTTGGACATAGGCCTGAGTAACAGTGTGAATGGCAACATGTTGTCAACCAGTGACAAACAGTAGTGTGGGCTGAAGAAAACTTCTGAGATTAATTTGGAGACAAGGGTCTTATATTCTTCGTTCAGAGATGGGATGTGCAAGTGTACTGATGGATGGAGACCTTAGCAGAATAGAAAAGATGAATTTGCTCCTCTGCCACCTTTATATAGGTAAGTACCATAGGTGAATTAACTGTAGCAGGTGGCCCTCTAATATGGGGAACGTCTAAGGACAAAATGCTATATTGCTACAGCACACTCTAAAATATGTCGGACTGGCTGTCACTTACACCTCAAATAGTCCTAGGGAAATAGGTGCTCCTTTGGATTTGCAGTGGAGGTTCCAATCTACTTCACAGGACTTCTTATTAAAATGGTTTTTAGGACATAAAGTGCTCCTTTGGATTGCAGTGGAGGTTCCAACCTACTTCACAGGGCGTCTTATTAAAATGGTTTTTAGGACATAAACGTCCTTCAAGCATGTTTATAACTGACTTGTGCATGTATGACATACCATCAGCTGTAATTATTCAGTGCCTGGGTTAAAGGCAACCCATAGCAAGTACTGAGATTTATTTATTTATCAGTTTCATTGCTGGTATGCTCACAGTCCTGCCAGACTGCACGTTGATTACTGTGCATCTCAGGAGCTAAACAGACATGGGCTGAGTTCCAGTTTGGGTGGGAGTTCAGGAGGAAAGACATGCATGTTGTAGGAAGTGAGGTTGGTGCTCCACTGAGCAGCAGACTCTGAGTCATTTTTCTGCAAAAGTGTTCTACTGGATGCCATGCTCTGGAGGTGTGACTCAGATGGAGATCTTTCAAGTTTTTTTAATGTTTGTTTCAATAAACCACAAAATATTGCAGTTATTATTGGGTTTAAAGTTCATAATTTCAGAAAAGTGCTTTGGATGAATTCTAGTTCAGTGATCACTATTTCTAGCTAAGCTTTCTTCTAATGTTCAGTAGGAGGCAGTAGACCATCTCTGTGCCTAAGCTCTTGAATCATGTGTTGCTGTGTGTAGTAGGACTGTGTCCCACTCACGTACTACCTAGTTTTCTGCTATTGTATTCTACTAGTGCACTTCCCACAGGTGTTAAGCCTTAGTATTAGTGACATGGTTTGAGATGCTTGGCTGAGAGATGCCACAGAAATAAAATTGCTTTTGTTTGTCATAGTAACATGGTAATTAATGCTGCAAAAATAACTATTTCGAATGGGAAGAAAAGCTCAGTGAGGTACAGCAGTTCTTTTGTGAGCAATGAGTATTTCAGAAAGACTGGTCTTGGCTTAATGCTAGAACAAGAAGTTGGTAGAGATTTGGGAAGATTATAGGTTGACATGATGTGCTTATTTTTTTAAAAACTCAGCTTCTGATTATGTAGACATAAATCTTATGCAGTGTTCA